CACCCGGTGCGAGGAGCGGGCAGGGCGCTCTCCCAGAGCCGATGAACAGCCGAGAGCGCTGTTTTATCCCGAGATTCACTCGAAGCTGCGGAGTGATTCCCTCCGTTTTACAGCTGGGGGGACGTGCCCGGCACCGGCTGGGGAAAGATGTCACACCAGAAATAAATGGTGCGGACGGAGACTCGTTTTTCTCAAGTAACCACAGGACGTTTCAGCTACGAGTCTGCCCTGTGTAGGCAGTTAGATATCCCTATTTGCGGATGTGCTGCTGTGTCATTTGAAATGATTCAGGGAAAAATAGGGGGGAAGTTGCAGTTTCAGAAAAATTCGCGTTAGGGGTAAAACTAGCCAATTCCAAACGTTGCCGTTCAACCTAAGATAAAGCATCTCTTAGCAGGTGTAGCCGTAGTGAGCACGGCCTCCTCAACTTGCAGTGGGCTGTCAGCCGTCTCGGGGGAATTTGCTGCCCAAGTTTTGAATATGCCATAAAAAAATGACACCCTTGTTCCTTTTGTTGGAGCTTGGGCATTGCAAAGTTAAGACCCAGAAGCTGAGGGACTAGAGAAAGCACTAGGAGAAGGGAGCATGACCAAGGGCATCAGCTGGGAAGCCGTATGCCTGTGTTCCAGGTTTAAGGCAGCCTGGCTATTAGTTAGTTGCTTGAGTGTGGACCTTTTGGCTCCATCTCTTGGAATAAGCTGGCTGAGTTGAGCCTTAAACCCGTTTTAGGTTCAGAAATAGGCAATCGGGTTCTTGCTCTGAAGACCTTTGACTCCCACTTGGGCCTCTGGAAAATCCAAATGTAGTGGGTCCAGTAAGTACAGCTGCTACTTTTTGTTATGGAAAGTATTAGGAGTCATTCTTCAGTTGTGGTTTGTGAGTTTGAGCTGTTACAGAGAGATAATTCATTCTTTCTTTTTTCTTTTGGGACAGGATGCTTTGATGAGGCCATGAAAGATTTCAGGAAAGTATTAGAGTTAAACCCCCAGTTTGAAGATGCTGCACTGAGTCTAAAACAGGCTATTCTTGATAAAGAAGAAAAAGAAAAGCGGGGGTATTGAACATGCAGCTAGTGGTGTGAAAACGTTTTGCTAAACACTTACGTGATTTTTGTCACTGATGGATGAAACACAAGATCATTTACATCTGTTACGACCTACTGAAGAAACCTCATTCTTGGGTAAATAAGTTAAAAATGGATTATGATTGCAAAATAAACTATATTTGGATATTGTTAGTGTTGAGGAAAAGCATAATGTTAGATCTATGTGAGATACTTGTACAGGTTTTGTACAGAAGTACTTCATAAAGATGTTGGAAGCTCAGTAACAGCAAATGAAGTCTGTGGTTCTCTTACTAAAACTGTTTCTGTACTCCACAGCTTGTTTTAAACAGTCTGTCATGGGGAAGAATAATCAAACTTTATAAAACATTTAAATACTTAAGATTGGAGCTTGTGAGAAGTACAGTGGTTGAATAATGATAGTGTTTGTCCATATTTAAATGTAAACTTGATTTAGGCTAAAAGTGCAATTGTTAATTATAAGGTGGTATCCTTGAGGTGCTGTGGTAACTGATTTTCTTTTCAGAGTGTTTCTGTATTAAGAAACACTTAACAAAAACAGTAAGACCTCTGTAGGTGACACCATCTGTACTTTGCAGGAGGAATGTGGTGTAAGCATTTAGTCCATCATAAGTTCATTCACTCCTAGAGGTAGCTTTACGTTATGTGAGCAGGTAGGGACAGAGCATACCTATTTTTTGTAATCCCATTGTAAAAGTATTGGACAGGTTAATAACTGAATGAATAAAAATGAGCATGTACTTTTTATCTCATGATTGTCTGTGAAGAGCTTATGGTAGAGAATGTAGTTGGGCTGTTCACAGTAGGAATTGTGGCTTTCTCCTTTTTATTGGAAAGGCCAATTGCTTGAAAAACATAATGTGAAATCGATCTGATTGAGCTGGCTGTGAATACCCAGGCAGCTTCATTTCTCACATGATGGGAGGACCATTGCTGAAATCTATGAATCGTCAATAAGAAACACCCTTGCATGTTCATAGCAATACAAGTTCTAATAAAAGAAATGCTCTTTGATTGCCTGCATGAGCGTTAGGATGGGTTTGGGTTTTTTTTAATAAATTACGCTAATGATGGTTCTGCCTCTTACGGTGAGTTTCTCCGTGGATGATCCTGGAGCCTGCACAAGTGCAGGGCTCACTGAAGATGGTGGGACCCTTTGGGGTAAGTCATGAGAATGGACTTTAGCCTCTGAACATCTTCCGCAGCAACCTTACTGAGATCGCTTTCAGCTTTGGGATGAAACTCTGCAACAGCCACAATGAGCAAATTTGGAGCACGGGGCTGAGAAAATGCTGCATTTACCTCTTGTGCTCCATGATGCCTGACAGCATCAATTTTGAAGTTACATAAATACGATGCGTGATGGCAGGATGTAACCATTTACAGTTTAGAAAGCAGGCTATGATGTCATAACAATGACTATTTTTTTCAAAAGTTTAATTTTGGACTTTTCTGGATATATTAAGCACATGCTTTGCTTCCATTTTTATATCTTAGTGCTCTGTCTCCAAAGCAACATTGATAGTTTAAGGACTTGGCACGTTTCATGCCACCTCAGTCTCAAAAATTGAGAAATCATACCAACTCTTGGTTGATAGTGAGAAGGTGAGCTAGAACTAAGCCTGTTCCTGACTTACCATGCCAAGAAAATTAAAAAGACAGTATGAACAGTTGAGTATGACCTATGAAGTTTTACTTTGAGAGGAGAGACCACAGATGTGGTTCTGCACAGAACACTTTAAATGACAGGATACAGATAAAAATCAAAAGATTAACAGCAAATAAGTATTTTAGAAAACAAAGATGCTAGTAATAATATCTCTCCGACTTCCCAGTTTGTGGTGTTTTGTGAATGTTGCTCAGTTACTTCTAACGCATTCATTGTTGGCACAGAAATACTGCACTGGACTGGGAGCAATTTTGTCGCAGATTCTCCACAGTATTAGAATCATAGAACAGTTTGGGTTGGAAGGGACCTCTGAAGGTCATCTAGTCCAACCCCCCTGCTGTGGGCAGGGACATCTTCAACTAGATCAGGTTGCTCAGAGCCCCGTCCAACCTGACCTTGAAGGTTTCCAGGGATGGGGCATCCACCACCTCTCTGGGCAACCTGTGCCAGTGTTTCACCGCCCTCAGCGTAAAAAATTTCTTCCTTATATCTAGTCTCAATCTACCCCCCTTTAGTTTAAAGCCATACCCCCTTGTCATGTGGCAACAGGCCCTGCTAAAAAGGTTTGCTGCCTCTTTTTCAGAAGCCCCCTTTAAGTACTGATAGGCTGCAATAAGGTCTCCCCGAAGCCTTCTCTTCTCTAGGCTGAACAACCCCAACTCTCTCAGCCTTACTGTATTTCCTTCTTCTGTAAAAAGATGAGCTGTTGTGGTGTATTTCGGCATAATTTGGAATTCTTCCAGGGTAATTTTGGCCAGTAAGGTTCTCGTGCACATTTTTCCCCTTTCACGTGCACACATGAGTCACTTAGTTCTCTGGCTTTACATCGCAAGACTAGTTGGGGTTTTCAGTCTGAGATTATTAAACAGTACTGTGTGGCGTTCTTTCACTCAGGCCTGTTGAAAGAGTATAAACCACCATTATCAATATATAAAAAAAAAAACAACTTGAGGAGGATGTGTTTAGTAACTGCCCTTGTCCTGCAAGGTTTCCTGTTTGTAATCCTTTAAGAATTAGAAGTCTAATAGAGAGTAGTAAAATTATTTTTATGTAGTGTTTCCACATGAAATTCAGACAACTGCTCAGCTTGTAAAAGGAGCAGGGGTTGTGTGCTTTGGATGCTTCGCAAGGCAGAGGTACTGTGGCTTTACACCTTCACCGGGCTTTAGGGGTTGTCTCTGCTTGAAAATTATAAACCTCTGTAGAGCGTCTGGGCCAAGCCTGTCTGCCCGCTCCATCGCCCTCGCAAAGCGCTTGCTGGTCAAAGTCATGGCACTGTACCAGCGCGTCCAACAGGTGGTTGCTGCTAATGTACATTGGCTGTCTCTTTACTCTGGCCAGAAATGTTTCAGACGTGAATAATTCACAGCTGCTTTCCTGAGGTTTCCTACCTATAAACCTACTCTCCAAAAGCCCTTGACTCTTTCCTTGACACAGCCTTCACTGGCAGCCCCTCCGTTTAGTTTGTTCCCCATAGCTGGGATTAATTTGGCAATGAGTAACTGTTCTCACCTGGTGATTGACCTCTAAACTTACTTACAAAAAATACGTGATTTCCTCAATACGTTACAGAATGTGTTCTTTTTTTTTTCTTCAGTATATGGAACAACAGTCTCTAAGACCTTACTTGCTCAGAGAACAAGGCAAAGTAACATCATCACCCTATGCTTTTCCCTAGTACCCTATTTGTCCTTCTACTGAAACACAGGAGGAGGAATTGTCACACCACTTTGCAGTGTTGCAAGGCCTTTCCCTTGCTTTTGCAGAAAGGTGGGAAAAGGTGGCAAAATCCCAGGTTAGCAGGGCACAGAGCGGTATGAGAAGTGTTTCATACATGTTTAGTGTGAGGTGCAGCATAGGGAACAAGGAGAGCCATTCTGAAGGGAAAGCTGTGGTACGTTGAGGGGAAAGGGCTAGGTCGTCAAGTGGCCAGATTATGTTTCTCTTCCACGTGCTTTCCCTCCGAGTGGACAACGGAGGTAAGTTAGCATTAAAAACCTGAAAATCTTTGGTTCTTACAACTGAGGACTGCACTATGCACTGTCCTGTTTAGTGGGTAACCTTGGTAAAAACTAAATTAGTAGTGAAAGGTGCACTCTTCAAATTTTGTGGGGAACGAACACCTTCGTATGAATCAAGCTCAGCTATACAGGTCGTGCTCTCCCCTGACTATCAGAAAGGGAAGGGTTCAGAAAGAGGCAAAAAAAATGTTCAGAACTGAAGATTGCTAGTAGAAGGGTAATATTCTATATTCTTTTGTGTTAGCAGATTATTGTCGGTCTGCCTAATCCTTTTAATAGAGGCAGAGGCTGGATCAGTAGAACAGATCCAACCTCAGCCTGTGGCTTTCATGCATGATGGAAGGGCTGGTTGCTTTTTATGAAAAAATTTTGCTGTGAGATCCGGTCAAGGTGGAGGCCCACCTAGCAGCATGTTGTGATCATGTGAGTTGAACTCTAGTCTGTTTCTGAAGGTTAACTGTTTCCAAGATTTTCCTTGTAGGATCCCTTTAGTCCCTGAGCAGGGAGGGATTGGATGCAGTCCACAGCATCGCTTCCTACAGCCTACGACGATCAGGTTTTTCTTCATTCATGTCTTTGTACAGTAAGAATATGAAATGAACCTGAAGGATACTTTCACCTCCCAGCAAGGAACAGCTAGTCCAATCCTGTCATAGACATCACAATAGTAGGTTTCAACCTAACTCCTATTACCATGGAAAAGGCTAATCCAAAGTTCAGTGCTTTCCAGACTTGTATGGGGACTCCTGTGTGCCTGTATCTGTGCATTTAACATCTCTCTTGCACCTTCCTAATTCCTTTTCTCCACATTGGCTGAATAATGAAGGCTTGTTCAACTATAGTGGTATGACTGGAGTGGTTCATGAAAGCCTAATCTAAGAAAGAGTTTAAGCCCATGGGCCTGAAAACTGCAATCTAGGACATGAGTTAGGTGCTGAAGTTTCACTTGCCACACCTGAGAGGAGGGAGTAATCCTAGGAGAACCTAGATGCAGAGCAATACACCATGCAATAGCATGGCTGAAGCATAGCTTGGGAAAGATACCCTGAAAGCTAAACAATGAATGCCTAACCCTAACACACTTGTGTGATTCAGTGTAAAAAACATCATCTGCCATGAACAGCAACGAAGGTAGGAGGAGGAAACCAAGGATGTGGAATTTCTCTGGCTTGTCTGTGAGAATGTGGGAATCTGAAATGCCTGTTGAAATGGGAATGCAGGTCTGTCTTATCTCCCTTTCCCTCCCAGCGTATCCAGAAGAGAAAGGTCTCCCCACCTGCCAGGTGGGGGGTGGATGGGTATGGGTGTGGGTATGTCCTGACTTTCCAGAGCAAAAGGGAAAGATCTGGGATATTCTACTTGCTGCAGACAAGTTTACCTGAATCTACTCTGCAAGACTGCAGAGCAAGCAAACCTTCGTGACGCAACACCAGACCTGATGCTCATCTGTGTGGAACTAGACAGCGTCCCGTGAGCACTGGGGAAAGAAGAGCTAGGATTTAGCCATCATTATTTAACCTTCATCCCAGTTTACAAATTTCAAAAGGACTGCTTTTTAGATTAACAGAAAGTTAACCTAAACTGATGAGTTTGTTACTGTTAACGTTAAAAATGGGGAATGTGCTCTCTTGGAAAACGTGTGGGAGCAGTAAGCTTGCTTGACTCTGCAGTGTTAGCTCCGGACAGTAGAGTGCACTGCTCATGCAGCAGAGAGGAAGGTGTCTCTCAGGCTGCTGCTGAAGGGGGTCTTGGGATCCCAGTACCCTCCGATTCCTTTTTACAAAACTTAGTCCTTCAGTAGATACAGCTTTAAGACTACATTTATTCAGCAATCATCACAGGCATGACTGCAGCTTTTGGGAAGCGTGCCACGTATATGCACTAATCAGCACGTGTAACCCAGCCAGCCTGTGAAGATAGAGGCTGTACGAGCTGTGCAAACCCACTGGAGGCTGCACACGTGTGCGCTATTAGCCTGCATCGGCATCGGTGCAATTGTCCCCTCTTCACTGCTGTTGGAAACCTACTCGTGCTGCAGGCACACCTTCAGTTACAGTGCAGGCACATCCTGAGAGCGATTACAGGTGGTCATGGGTCTGGTTTGTCCTTGATCTCTAGAAAGCAATTAAATGTTTTCTGTGGGCACAGAAAACAAAATACCAGGTAAGTTGTCCTTTTTACTCATGTTAGAGCATCCGTCTTCTCCCATTTTGTAGAGTTAGCCTTTTCCATACAGGGGCAGGTGAGAGGGAGGTGAGGAACTAACAGGTTTCCAAGACACTCAGGTCAATGCAATGTTATACACAAAAATCTGCACTGATGGGAAAAAAAAGTGTGCTGTTGTGTTGCATGTGGAAGAGGCCCTCAGTAGCAGATGGCTTGGCTCTTTGAAGCCAATGTTGGTACACCAGATGGTTGCTGTGGCACATTAGCAAGGAGATGTTCTGCACTTACATTACTTTGTATGTATTTTTATTTGACTTTTCAGATTTGCACTTTACATTCACATGGGAGGATTGGCAGTCACTTTATGAAATGTTACAAGAAGCAGCCGTAATCAGGGCTGGAATAATTTTAGTGATCTGCAAGTCCGTATTTCAACATCTGGAAGAAACAAGCAGCGTTATTTTGCAGCCTTGGGTTATTTTCTGGCAAGTTTTCTTTTGTAGCCACTTCAAAGAGGCAACAGGTTACAACATTTACTAATCGTGTTAGCAGACCCCAGCACTTCCCAGTGTTGTGGTGCTGTCCTGAGTCCCACTGTCTGGTCTTTTCACTTCAAGCAAGGTAGTTCTGGTGGTCACTGAAAGAGGTAGCTCCTGTGTCTAGTTGCACCGTTTAGAAAGCAGCCAGCACAGATGAGCCTTCAGGTGCTGTTGGAGACACACACACAGTGGAGTGAGGAGTGAGGCTGGAGCACACAGATGAATAGCTCTGGTTCTCTAAGGGCAGACGAAGCTATAGGGTAAACCCTAGCAATCTGGAGGATTTGGACCCTTCAAAAGAATTTGGAATACGGCAGTGATTTGTGCCTTAGTGTTTGTTTCTAAAATTTTGGATCCATTTTCTTTCAGACGGGGCAGTCCAGTTGAAAACCTGGTGAAATAATATCTGGTTCCAAAACTGCTTGCTACAGCCCAACTTCAACATGTCCTGCTCTACTGCTGGCATCTTCTCCAGAGCCATGCCACCTGTGTTTGGCTTGGCAGGTAACTCTCCTTCTTCCCTCTCTTAGGGGCTCAAGCTTAGACCAGGAGACTGCAAACCCTGCCTGTTCCCTAGTTCTTGTCCCAGAACTTACAGTTCTAAGGTCTTGAAGGACAGGCTATGCATCGCTTGTGCCACAAAGCATGGCGACCTCTCTAGGTGAGTACGCAGGGCCTGGTGTTCTTACCAAATTCAGTTTACATGCGTCAGCTTAGATCTGGATCAACAATCCAGACTGGTCCAGCAAGTACGTAGCCCTGGTGATTGGCTGAACAGTGACCTGGAAAGGCTGAGAATGATGCACAGTGTATTTGTGTAGTTTTTAAAGAATACATACATGCCGCACGTTAAGTCCTAATGTATTAAAGTATGAACTAAAGGTAATGTTACACAGTCCATGTTCGAGGCATTTCAGATGCCAAAACCAGAGGTCCTAAATCCCTTAAAAACATCAGGTCAGGAGTGCTTTGCAATGGCTCTTTTTATGCTGAACACCTACCCTTCCTCTCCCTGCTTGAGCTGCACTGTCCTCTGCAGGGGCTGCCAGGTGGTATGTTCGTAGGAGAGCACGCTGCCACCAAACAGTGCACATACACCTGAGAAGAAGAAAAAGTACCACTTGGTCCATATCAAATCCCACTTTGCTGAGCATCGTTTTGTCTTTTGTCCACCTTTTGCAGAAGTTACAGCTGATTAGACTTAGGCTTGTCTGAACACTTGCATGCGGCACCTTCTAGCTGAACCTGCCTTGAATTTCAAATTTGGTGTCAAAGAAGCCCTCAGGCAGTTTGGTAACTGAGAGGCTGAGACAGGAGAAGTTAAAACCTCACGAGCTGCAGTGAGGCTGTGTATGAAAGCTAGACAGAAACTCAATCTAGTGCTAGATGCAGCTGCGCACTTAGGAAGCAGCACAAGCCAGAATTGCATCATGTTCATGTCTAGCAAGTTCACGAGTTGAACTGCTTATGAAAGGCCAAGTCAAAAAATTATGTAGTTACTTAAGCTGCCCAGGCAGGGCTACTGCCATGGCTCGTATCAGTACATGTGCTAGAGTCCACTCAACTGGGTGCACTAGGAGCAAAGCACCCTCGGGTGACTGTCCTGGGATTTTCTTTGCTCTTCTTAGACCTGTTAGAGGAGGACAGAACCTCGAGAGTGTAAGACCAAACCCACACGCCTCTGCTTCCCTGCGCATTGGGCTGGTGTCTGAGGAGACGGCTGACTGGCTGGGACAGATGGGAGACAGCAGAGCTGAACTTCATGTAGATATTATGGCGTGTAAGTTGACTTTTCTATTCTAGACATTTTGAGCTGAAGTGCTATGAATCTGATCCTATAAAAAGTCAGAAACACCATATAAAAATCATATTTACATACCAAACTCTTTTGTTTACTCCAGCCAGTCCAATCTCAAGTCACTGAAACTGTGTTGCAGAGCAGATTTGAGAAGAGAACTAAATTAAAGCTGTGCACCAGTCAGGCTACTTGGACTGAATGCTGGTTAGGTCTTAAGTCTGTGAGGTGTTTAAATTGGCTAGTTTTTAAATGGTCTTAAGAAGTTCAGAGGATAGGGTCCATGACTGGGAGGTGAGCCTTTCACTTAATCTTACCTGTTCCAGTCGATGTGCCAGGGTCCTTACTGCTAGCCTTTTAAAATGAGAAGGGTGTCTCACCCTGGGGCTAACAGCTACTGGACAGAACTCTGCAACATACTCACTGCCGTTAATCTCACACCTATTTGAGAGAACAGATCAACAGATCTAGAAGAAATTAGGGCTTTGCTGATGAGCACATTGGTCATTCAATAACTACTTGCCCATCCACAGTGATGTTCCATCTTGGGGTGCTGTTGAAGTCTAAAGACCTGGTTACCCAGCAGTTTTCCAGGTATAACTCAGTGCTGGGGCTCTCGTCTTTCAGCTCCACCTCGAGAAACACAGGCTCCACAGGTCGCTTGAGTATTGCCATGTTGGGCTCATAGAATTCCGTGAAAGATTCATCTTGAGAAAATGTCAGGGGATTTTGTTGTTGTTTAATTTTATTTAAATTAAAACATGTTTGGAAATTTTCTGATTTTCTTAGGAGGAGGCTTACCTTTGGACACTCTTGAAACTACGTTCAGGGCTTCTCTTATCCTTCTGTATACTGCAGAAAAGGAAATGCTAGTGAGGTTCTTTAGTAGGAAGCAAGGCATGTCTTAACAAGGGAACTTACAACTGAAAGAGTCTTAGAAGTTTAAAAATGGAGGAAGAGAATTGCCTACCTGCAATATTTGATCTTGGTACCATCGTACCGGAGCCAAAGGGAGGTGATGTGGACGGATCACTAGCGAAGGCACCTAGCACTAGGGTCTCTTTTGCTCGATAGTAGCACAAGACTGTTAGTCTACAATAGGAGAAAGGGTAATTTTTGTGTTGACTTTTACTTTCCAGCAGCTGTACCAAAGTGAAAAGTGTCAGTGAGCGGTAGCTCCTACCTGTAGTCTGGATCTCTTGTGATTGTCGGTATGCTCTGTCCTGGAAGAGTCTCCTTTTCATAAGAGATTTCATTTTCATAAATAATGTGATCACCTTCAAACTGTGCATATGGGAAGCTCATTAAAAATTGAATCTTCTCACGAGCTGGGACAGGGGAACAAAAGAGAAAACGCAGGAGAGACAGAGACTTCCAGCAGATGTATCTGCTCCGGCCATGGGCTTACCCTTACTGAAGTGCCACAGGTAGTGACATGGAATTTGAAGAAGGCATGTCCTTCATTGTACTCTCTAGGCTTGCAAGAGCTATCCCTTAGTTTGGTTTTACTCATATCAATGGCAGGAACTGTCTTCATTTGGGCAGATATCATTATGGTACCATCTGGGTGGCATACTGAGAAAATCAGAGAGCTGGTTATAAACTCAAGGAAAGAATCACAGATCTTTTTATTGATTGATCAGTTGTATAACTTACTTATAAATGCTGAAGAATTAAAACTGCAGCTAACGGAGAACATCTGTAAGGTCTCCATAGTTCTCACTTTCCTTAGGGCAATGTCAAACCTTGCTTTAATTTTCTGAAAGGACACTTCCTGTGAAGGATGTGATGGAAGAGGTCTCCTGTTAAGGCATGTGATCCACATGTACAAAGTTCTGCTCTTTAGCTTGTGCCACTTGAATACTAACAAGTCACAAGAGTTAAGTCAGTGTGAAGACTCGAGCCTGATGCAACATGGGGGCAGAAGTTGTCTTGTATGAATTAATTGGTCACTGTCACAGAGATAAATTTTGGCTGATTATTGGTGAATAGTTCAGATGTTTATTACAGCATCAATTTTCGCCTGCCATGTCTTAACTTTTCTACAAAATGTCCCTTTAAAAGAGCTTCTTTCATAAAAGCTATATTGAAATATTGTTTCTGGCTCAGTGCAGATGGGACATTTTGCCTCATCTTACTAAAAATACTGAGGAGTTTGTTTTTGAAGACTTGGTGCATATCTTTTAGAGACAACTTAGCACTGCAGATTACCTAACACATGGCATTACCAGAAGGGTCCATGTCCGATACCTCTTGTCCTACTTGCACTGGCTTAGAGTCCTTCCTTCTGGAGGTTTTCCAATATGTGGAACACTACAGCACTGCAGACTGTGACTGTAGGACTGTGGCTATATGAGCAAACAGTCCTACGTGCTTTAAAGAAGGCATTGCTATACAGTTCATGTACCTCATAGATAACTCCCACAGCGAACAGAGGTATTTGCAAGATCAAGTGTGTAGAATTGGTAACTGCAAGATACCCATTGGTAAGTGCAACGTGCCGGTTCAGGAGCTTGTTATGAAGATACAGGTTCCAATACTGGTGCAAGCCAAAAGTAGGGATGGCTAGATACAGATTTTCTTCATCACAGTAACCAACTGCTTCTGGTAGTTCTGCGGGAAGAAGGTGGGACAAAGAGTTAGCAATGAAGGAAGGGCTGAGCGATGATGTTTGGCCCAGGCAGGGATTCCTATCATGGCTAAATTTTGCACTGGCACTGCAGCAGCGCTGTTACGTGCATACTGGCATCGTCTGCAGGGCTTTGGCTGTGTTGTGGAGGTAGCAGCTCACTATTGGTGGGATCGGGAACCTTCGTTCTTTAGCGGTGGCCTGCCAGCCTGCTTGCAGGACTACTCCCTGTTTCAGTAAGGCAAGCTGAGCTATGTATGTAAATACGGTTTTTTGGTCAGCCTTCTTTGGGTTGAACCCAGAGCTATTTCAAAGATAAAATAGGACAGTGAGGAGACTGTCAACTTCGTGGCATCCAAAATCTAAGAAGTTTGAGAAAATACCAACCAGACCTCCTGACTGTTTCAATAACCCGCTAAGTACAGCTTTTAGTGGATGATTGTCTCCTTACAGAAATGCTGTCTTTGGAGTTCACAGCAATTCATTCGAGTCAGTTGAGTTCTGCCTTGGACGCGGAGGCAGAATTGCATTTGAGGACAAACTGAAACTCGTAGCAATGTCTGAAAGTTTTGCCAGTAGATGTATGTTCAAGTTATGAGGCATCTTGTTCACTGAGTTTGCAAGCCAACTTCTACACACTAGTTTTTATTGCTCTCAGTGTCTCGAGGGCAGACTGTCTTGCCAGTATGCAGAAGAGCTGCCATCAGAAAAGCAGCAAGTTGGCTATGTTACCAATAATGAGCTATTGAAGGGTGGGGTTTTCCCAAAAGCTCTCATCCTCAGTCTAATGCTGTTCTCACTGAATTCAATGAAAATCTGATCCATGCTGTTGATGGATCAGGGGGGAAAGCTTACCGATATCAGCAATCACACATTCCACCTCTGCTGAATGATAATAGAGTGTCATCTCCGGACCCACGCTCATAGTGTAGTTAACGAGGAGGGTATATTTTGTTTCATTTCTATTCACATACTGAAAGAGAGAGAAGTGTAAGGCTGCAGTAGCAATGGCTTCCAGCACAGACAGGCATGTATATCCTGAGCAGCACTAAATAAGTATTCCAACACCCTCCTCTCCCCTGCAAATAGCTCAGTCTCCAAAAACATCGCTTCAGTTGGCCTAAAACTATTCAGAAACCTGGACTGTATTCAACAGCTTTTTCAGCCAAACATAAATGTGCAGAATGTAGTGCCTGTTCAGAAAATGGAGGCAGAAGTGAACACAGTAGTGTTTCCTCTGTAGCCCACTGGTGAAAGAGCTCGTAGAGGGAGATCCATGTCCAAATCCTTATTCTTCTTTACTCAGAGTGTGGGCTCAACCCAGGAGAGTAAGTAATCGGTAAAACAGAAGGTGTGATGGGATGCCATGAGAGATCCCTCTCAATATCCTCATTTACTTCACTAAAAGTGCTCCCAAAGCAAAACCTGCTGTTCAACCTGAAAGAAATACTTCTGAAAATTTTTGGCTTGCTTTGATCCTTAATGCAATTTAACTGTGGTTTGACTGCAGCCTGAAAACTATTTGTGCAAGTCCTGATCCTGTGCATTCACAATGTTGTTCCTTGTAACAGAAAATAGCATCGCAGCTCTGTGTGATTTGGTTGAAACAGTGGTAGAGGACTTGCAGTTATGCATCCTCCCACTGAAATGAGAGGTTGAATTCCCTCTGTGAGTTTATACTTTTTACAAATATTTAGATTACAAATGGTCTGAAGCTTAACAAAATTACATTTAGAAGACCGTGAGCCTGCCTCTATGTGCTCTCACGGTGCGTGGCCTGTGCCAGCGGTCAAATGGCTCTGCATAAACAGTAGGTTCAGGAATTACTGGGTGTTAGTAACCGGTGTTTGCAGGATTACAATAATTGATTTATTTTTCCAAGGCACTCCTCTTTCAAGGGACAGCATTTAATAGAGATTTGACAAACCTCTTCCTGCTGGGCGTGTGCTCGGACATTAGCCATGCTGACAGACACTAAAGGAAGTCATATTTCATACCATGTAATCACACCTGATGCTGCGTGTCTCCCAGAGACCTAGGGAGAGCAAGGTGGGGACATACAAGCCTCTAATCTTAATTCAGATGAGCTCAGACTCATTGACACCTTTGTGATTGAGGAACAGTTGTTGGTTAATAAAAGCCAGACTATGTTCTGAAAAGGGACTGCCCTACCCCCTCCACTCAGCTGCTGAAGTGACCTGCTGTATCTTACCTCCTTTAGAACATATGAATCATCAAAAGAGACTTCCAGGATAAATCCTTTCGTTCTATTAGAAAAGGGAGTTTCATAAATCTTAAACCCCTGGTGCTGTGCTTCCCTCAGGGTAAATGGCACATTTCCTATTGCGATTGCCACCAGAGAGACATCGGAAAGAAAGTGTCCAAATGCAACATTAAATAGCCTTTCCTCTGGCAGAGTATCTGTAGGGAGAGAACATCAAATTACTGGTGATGTGGATCAAGTAACGAAGACGGTTGGGGTGGCCTCCCATTCAAGTTCCAGGAAACTTAGCCAACAGCCATCTCTTTAGTGGCTCTGATTAATGAGTGTTTGTGTTCTAGTCAGATCTGAAATACTCTGAGTACGTGAGAATTGCTTCAAGCTGCAGGAGATTAACAACAAATACATACAACTTTATAGAAAGTGAGTTCAGTAACTTTCTAGAGGTGCACTAAGATGTGCAATGACTTTCCTATAAAGAAATCTAGAATCTAGTTCAGCCACATAAAATATGGAAAAACTATCATAATGTATGCCAAGAGGCTCCTTTTTCTTTCTATATCAGTTATCCAGGCAGCTCCAAAGATGTTTAGTGTCTTAATGCATTGGAAAATGTCATTAAAAAAACCATTACTGCACCACCGGTTGGCACAATGATTTCAGTATGTTCCCAAGATAACAATTGCAGGCAGTTTGGGGGAGAAAATGCCATCAATGAACACTGTCCTTAGACAGTTCTCCCCAGTGTGATAATTGCATAACACAACATCTTTATTCTAAAGTCCTAGTGCTCACTGGAAAAATCTGGATGTTAGTGTGAAAGAAATGTTTACGTTCTTATCAGCAACTTATAATTTTCATTTCATTCCATAATGACGGGTGATAAATGGTACATCCGTTAAGGCTAAAGGTTTGGGGGTTTTAATAATACCTTGAATCTTGACTTTGGCTAGCAAATTGGAAGTGGGAGTTGGGAACATTCTGGTGAATGTAGGTGTGTGGCAGAGGTCAAATGGAGCAATGTATAACATAGCAAAAGCAAGAGATTGGTAAAAGTCAATGAGAGGAATGACTTACTGTTGATAACTGTTGGTATTTGTGGCATGAAAGGTGTGGTGATGGATTTGATGACAGTATACTTCGTGGTTTGCCAATCTGCATCTGTCCACGTGTGCTCCAAAAACAAGTCAATACTGTAGATGACTCCATATACACCACCAGATATGGAGCTCTAGGAGGTAAAATTTGTGATTAAGTCTTAATTCTCAATAGCTCAATAGAGGAATGACTGAATATGGCTAAAATTCTTACACTAGAAAGAGAAAATGGTATTCTAGTACAGTTTGGGATGGATTTTCCTAGGGGAGCTTGTTTGTTTGCTTGGCCCATTTGTCTGGTCCATGTTTGGCTCAGATACTGCTGAGATTCTCAATAAGGAAGTATCAGGTTTGGGGGGGTGTTTAGTAAGTAACCATATTTGCATTTATTTTTTTATAATCCCTGGATTACCAGTCATGTCTCTCATTCTGTCCCAGTTCACTCTGAAAGTTTGTCAGTGCTTCCAACAGTTCTTCAGGCCAAGCCTGTCTGGTGTTACAATACACTGTAACTGGTGTCCACTGATACACAAAAAAGTGAACTTCTGAAGGGCATAAATCAAAATCACACCAACATCATCTTCACAAATGGAACTGGTAAAGAGCCTTCTGAGAATATTGCCAGCTGCTTTCTAAGTGTTCAAGGTCAGGTTGGATGGACTTTTGAGCAACCTGATCTAGTGAAGGATGTTCCTGCCCATGGCAGGGGGGTTGGACTAGATGATCTTTAAAGGTGCTTTCTAACCCAAACCATTCTATTCTGTTCTACTGAACATTTGACACTGCCTCTGTACCTGTAAATTATAGATTGACAAGGAATATACCATGTCCAAAGCAAGTGGCTGCACCCAAACTACATGCTGGGAACCTGTCCCATGCTAACTCATGCTGTCTGCATGGAAATTGTCTGGGAAATTACTCCTTGACCCAGGCCAGAAGTTTACCAGGACTAGTTTCATAATGTAACAACATAGACAATTGAACTCCAGTGCCCAGGAACCCCTTCACTCTTAATTTATTAGTATATCTTATAGATTATTAACAAAAGACAGTCTCTTGCTTCTATCATGTTCTGTAATCATAGAGACTTAGTTTCTGAGTAATGTTCCTGCCATGGCAGGGGGGTTGGACTAGATGATCTTTAAAGGTGCTTTCTAACCCAAACCATTCTATTCTGTTCTACTGAACATTTGACACTGCCTCTGTACCTGTAAATTATAGATTGACAAGGAATATACCATGTCCAAAGCAAGTGGCTGCACCCAAACTACATGCTGGGAACCTGTCCCATGCTAACTCATGCTGTCTGCATGGAAATTGTCTGGGAAATTACTCCTTGACCCAGGCCAGAAGTTTACCAGGACTAGTTTCATAATGTAACAACATAGACAATTGAACTCCAGTGCCCAGGAACCCCTTCACTCTTAATTTATTAGTATATCTTATAGATTATTAACAAAAGACAGTCTCTTGCTTCTATCATGTTCTGTAATCATAGAGACTTAGTTTCTGAGTAAGTGCTTTCAAAACACAGAGAAGGAGCATCTAGGTCTTCAAATATTTCTTGTATGTAAGAATTTTAAGCAGCGATCAACCACTATTTGGAACGATCATGATTTAGAAACACCTTCCTTGGTGCAGACCCTCAAATGTGTTAGTGTGAGACAGGTTCGTACTAACCTTTAGCTTGCCTCCTTCTGCTCCAATAGGGATAGTTATTCTGATGTGTGTCTCATTGTGCTCCAGTAAGTAGTTCTTCTCCTCCGGGTGTACTATGACTTGATCATCGACTCCCATTAAAATGTTTTTAGACAGAAAGGTGGATTCTTGAACCACTAATGTGGGGATAACACTTGGCACAGTCCATGTTAGTGTAGTGTCAGTGAAACTGATGCCATCTGTTGAGTTAGATAGACAGTCCCAGAAGACCGGGTAATTGGAGTTACCAGTAAGTCTTCACGCTGCAATGGCTGTCTTTCCCTAACTCCTTTTCACCAGGGTACCTTTACAGCTTTCACTAATGAAACATCTGCTAGGATATTAGCAAAAACCGATGGCTATTTTGTCACCAAAACCCTGGCGCTTGAAGTGGACTTGAATCATTTCAAGTGACTAATTAATTTATTCAGAAGAACCGACGGTCATGCTCCCAGCTACCTGCTCTTTCGTCTTTCTGGTCCCAGGAGTTTTGCCTTATGGCAAAAGGAATGGGGCACAGAGCCGCCTGTTTGGACCTTCCCCTTGAAATACTGGCTTCAAGATCATGACAACTTAAAACCTTGTGCTTCCTCATCAATTGTTCACATTAATACTGTTCTGTGAGAGACAGAAGGTGCAGCCACCACTGTTCTGCAAAAAGCCAGGCTAGTTTTGCCTCTCCAGAGAAAAGGACTAGGTGAGTCCCAAGGATGCAGAGCTGCATCCCCTGCGTGGAGTTATGTCACAGGGGAGAGCCAAGGCTGTGGGCTTAGTCCAGGGGAGGCTCCCTGGCCCTTCTGCAGCAGTTTTACTTGTCTCCAGTTCCCTGCATCTAACGCGGGGGTTTGAGAAACCAGAGACAAGACATGACACTGCACTGGGAACACAAGTAATATAGCATCACAGCAGGGAACATATTTGTCCGGGACTAAAGCCATGGACTCATGTTGCTCTGAGGGCAGCCTGTAAACCTCTTCTCTTACAGAGTAGGTCACAGGGAAGTGGGGAGACTGTGTTTTCTAGTAGCTCCTTAGGCAGTTATTCTTGGTGAACAAGGAAGAAATCCTTACCAACAGGACAGGATACAGTTGTGTCAATCAGCAAAAGCAGCCACCGCTGCCTGTACATGGAAGTAGAAGTGACCATGTTCATATTTACACCACTGACCTGTTGGGATGCAGGCAGAAAAAGGGAACTGATGTTCTATAGAGGCAGTGGAAACAGCACAGTTTTGTGTCCAATTGAGAGCAACAACTCACCACGCTGACGTGAGACTCGTTGCTGTGATAGGGCGCACGGAGGTACACTCGGGACAGCGTATTATTGAAGCTGTAGCCCAGTTTTGCTGCATCGCTTACCATTATTCTTTTTCTCCCTGATGGAGAAACAAACATCAGTTGCCATAGCTGGTATGCAACATTTTGAGTCTGCAAAAGAGAGATGAGCTGTATCAGATCTAAGTCTACCAAAGTCTCTTAAAAAACTATGATATTGTAGCACCTATTTTCCTGTTAGAAGCTGGAGTAACTGGAGTGACACTGGACACTACTAGTTCAACCCAGGCAAGAAATACCCTTGATATATACAAAGATAAGGAATTCTGTAGCTCTTTAAGGAATCTTTAGAGATAGCCTTATAGCAGCCCTGGAAGAGACTTAGACTGGTGGCCTTGAACAAATCCCCTTGGACAAAATGCCTGTGCTGTTAATAAAATGATTGCCTTCATGTCTGTCGATTGCTGGAGCAGTCCAGAGGCCACATGACAGACTACCTTTTATAGTATGTAGCCATACTGTGTCAAAGATAAGAGAAGAATGTCTGTACGGGTCTAGAACAGTCTCTCCTGAAATGATAACCATATGGGAGGATAGTCAAAAGGAAAAATGGGCATAAAGAGCAAGTAAGACATGAGAAAAATAGGACAAGGGTATATATTTCCCCCTAATACTTTCCAGGCTCAAATAATTTTCAGTTCAGTGACTCCTGAGCTATCTGTAGCTTCTTTGTATTTTGTATATCTTATTGGATTTCTCTTCAGTCAACTTTTCCAGACTCTCCTTGAGATCAAGCAAGCTTTTAACAGCCACATCTTTCAGCAAGGAATTTGACAGATTCACTACCCATTGTGCGAAGAACCACCTACCTTTGTTTGTCTTGAACCCAGTTTCCACTAATGTAACAAGCATATGACTCTGTTCTCCCATCTAAATGTCTTTTTACAGTCTAGAGCTCTAAGAAAACCTGAGAGGTTTTTCAGTACTTGATGGCATCTTTGCTATCTCCCTTTTTTTGACAGAGATGGAGCTATGCCCCAAGAATGACTCATGAGACTAGTGAGAAGAGGCAGGCTAGGAACTGTTAGCAAAGACTCCCTTTCATACCTCTGGCAGGGCTGACATCCACGCTACGGTGTAGTCATTTGAAACTGCAGGGACATCAGTCTTCACTGACACCTGGGGACACAGAGGAGATTCTTTGGGGAAAAAACAAATCTTCAGCATTATTACAGGCATGGGGAGCAGAGAGAGGGCTTTCAGATTTCTTCTCCAGTGTCTGTCAGGGTTTAGCAATTTACATGCACTGGAGGTAATTAAAATGTTTCCAGAGAGGTTCTTGATGGCAGTAATTTCTGTGGCCTTAATATGAAAGTTAAAGCCATGGCATTTATGGTGGTGCATGTACAGCAGAGGGAATACTTGGTGTATAACCAGGTAAATAAAAAGTCCTGTTTCATATCTGGTAAGCTGTAAACTAGATCCCACTCTGGAGACTTTCAGGGGCATCTGGGTCTCTCCACCGGAGATATATGGAAGCAGGCTATTGGCTTTAACAGGACTGGTTCCTCTTCCTATGCAGGCTGAACACCTGAAAATGCAGGATCCACAATACCTAAGGTAGATGCTATGGTGTAAATCTTGCCAGCATGTGCTGCAGAGTGAGGCAAGTTCTGTACATTGAGCTTGGAGTCAATGTTTGCCTCAGACATCCGTAGCATGGTTTGTGTTGCAACACCCAGACGTGACTGCACAACCTCAAGTCCTAACACGAGAAATATGCTTTCTTCATCCTGCCTATAGTAGGTGCATACAAAAGGCAGTGAAGTTTGTTTTGTTCAGTGCCTTATTTCTACATTGGTGTGTAGATGCTGGTAGCAGGCTGGACAGCCAAATCGTACCACCCAGTGGGAGGCAGGTTCTGTCTCACAATGATGTCCTGTGAGTTGTGTGATGCAGCAGGGGTGCAGCTCTGCAAACTCTAGGTTTTATTGTTTCAAATATAAGGATGACATTCTCACAGATGCCGCAGCACTTTATAACGTAAAGGTATTCTCGTGAGCTAAACAGGTTGGCCTGCCTGGCTGCTGATTTGCTTGCAGTGGCTTGACTTACATCATCTGTACAGTTAACTGAGTTTCACTGCATTCAAAATACCTATGACATGTAAATGTGTTACTAATAAGTACCTACAGTTACACCCTCTGCTGAGTATCAGCAGGTCACTGTTACGCCTGGTACATAGTGTAAAATCAACTTCTGACAGGAATTTGTGGAGGTTGTTGCGCCTGGCAACAGGGAGCTTGGATGTAGCTTTGCCTTCAGTGGGAAAGCTTTTACCTCCATGTAGTTTTCTTCACATACAATTTCTCTTGAAGCCCAGGAAGAGTAGGAGCAGTACATAGGGTAGGTGTAGGTCACAGCTGCCCTCATGCTTGAAAATGAGGAGATCTTGATGTTCACAGTCAGTGAAAACAGCTCATCTGCCTGGGAAGAAAAACAGGCAATTCATCAGATAGTGTGGAAGGTCCCAGGAGCGGCTGCAGGGGACCATCCAGCCCAGTGTCCTGTTTCTGAAAGTGTTTTATAATGATGAGAACAGATTGAGAACTGTAGTGACAGTTCCTCCAACATACCACCCTGTCTTAAGTGGTTCCTGTGCAGGGGCTCTCTGAGCCAGAGACATTGCCTCAGTACTTACAGCCTTTGCCTCAGATCACATCTCAGCGCTATTCTTGCCGCAGTATTAAGGAGCAGTTAGTCAGGGGGAGGTCTGACCCACCTCACCATGTGGTTCACATTCCTCCCATGCATGACTGCTACGTGCCTCCTCATGGAGAGAGTACTGGAGCTTTTAGTTTGATGTAGGTAGTTCAGATCTATCTTACAAATGCTGTTTAGTGTCTATCTTGACCAGCTGGTCTATCTTGACCAGCTTCAATAAGAGCTCCTTTTGGTCCTCCAACTTTACAGGAGCCACACATGAAGCCATGGACTGTGCTTCTATCTGACATGGATGTGTATTTTTCTACAGAAAAAGGCAAAACCTTTCCAGAGAAATTTCCAGTCTGGAAATCCTGGTCATTGCACAGCACACTGTACACCCCCCATTCTTGTTAGCATAACCTCTGCCGATAAAGTTTTACCTTATTTTTTCTGTGGGGCTTCCAGGACCAACCAGACTAAACATGGACAAGCAATGAAGTTTCTACTCTGATGTGTTCTGTTTCTGGGTACTTTTCATCTCAACTAACATTTAGAAATTTGAAATCCAGGCCACACTTTTACATGTATTTTAGGAAGGGGTGAATCACCTTCTGGAGATGCCTGTTTCTCTCCATTGACTATTGTGGAAGTGTAAACAACTAGTTTAGACTAGACATTATCTTTTAGATGGCTAAAGTTACGTGAGACAAATCTGGGTCTAATAGATGTGTGTGATCTACATTCCTAGGCATGTGTTAACAGGCACATTACCACACAAATTAAGCCAGGAAATTATCTGCCAGGATCACACTGCAAATGTTGCTTTTTCAAGCAGATGCCTACTTCTTTCCAGAGAGGGTTTCAAGAAACTCTCTGGCAAATCAGCAGCTACAAGGATATGCTTGAGAACTGGCAGCTAGTCAGCAGCATTAGGCTAAGTGGCATTTCACGGAGAGAGGAAATCCCATGTCAGTCACACTGAACAAACCTCATACTGGAGAGCCATTGCCTATTCATTTCTACACACCATCAACACTAACTCCTTGAGTTCACTATTTCTTGAGTTCTCAAAACATGCCATTAGAATGCCATATAATATCTCAGTCTTGTTTTTTTGGAGAGGATGTACTGTCTGAGTTGTTTTCAAGCCCATCTCTGGGTCTTACCTCGTTGGCCACATGACAGCCAAGCACTGACGCGCGGAAGACGGGGTTGCCCCACACGTCTTCTGACAGGACATAGCCACAGCGAGATGCTAGTTTCTCATCCAGCAGAACGGGGCCAGCATAAGGATCTACAGAAAAAGGGAATGACGTGTGGGATGGAAAGCTCAGGGCAAGTCACGGGGCAGAGTGGTGCTGAGGCCCCCTCATGCAGCTCTCCTCTGAAAAGAGGTCCAGCTGGGTTGGGTGCTCTCCAGCGACGTGTGCTGTTAAGGAGCTGGCGAAGCTGTGCTGTATGTGTTAGAGTGCATGAGGCAGTCTGGCATGTCTGAAGCTCACCCACATTATGTTCACTTTAATGCCCATTTCTTTGTGTCCAGAAGCTTGTGCTACAGCCACCTTGAAGCGCTATTATGGAGAGTTTCTCTGAGGCATCATATACATTTCTCCCTCCCTGATTTTACTCTCTAGAAAAGAGTTATGGGCTATTAAGCCCATCCATTTCTAAAAACCCTCAAGTCGTGATAATCTGCTGCTCACTCTGGTCAAAGGGTGCAGTCATGGACCTATTTTGGATGGGCACTTCTACAAATTGATCAGGTTTGCTGCCCATCTCTGCTTGGCAAGGCGCTGTGTGCTGTTAAGCCTATGGGAGAGCCAAGTAACAGGCACGATGGGAGCTGGCTCCGCTCAGCTCTTGATACTGGTAGAGTTAATAACATCATATTTTGCTAATTATCTGCCCTCTGATTAAGGAACTATTTTAGTCTTGGGTTAGACACAAGAATCTGTACCAATAGATAGGGTTTAACTAGCTGCCATTGTAATTTCTAGATTTGTCTGTCATCTTCGTATGTCAAACAGTATTAATAACTGCTGTTTCAGTAGATGTATTCTTGCAGCCAGGATAGACTAAGGAGATAAGTGAGAAAAATTTTGGAAGAAGAGGGAATAGGTTTTATGAGACCAACTGATAGAGCTGGAAGAAACAAACAACCTTTTTGTGCCTGAAGGCTGGTCTGTTTTTTCCAGCGATATCAGTTGCTCTCATAAATGCTATCACTTCTCCCCACACCCTTGCTGTACTTGACTTTTTCAGTTCTGCCTCCAAATCAATTGAAAAAACCCAACCCCCCCAAAAAAAGTGGACTGATCTCAACAGAAAGAAATCTGGTTTGGGGTGAAATCACATACTTTTGTCAATCTGATGTGAACATTTTCTGGTTTTCATTTTGGTTAAGTAGATTTTTGTTTTCCTCAGCAAAATGGAAACCCTTTGTTCAATCTGAACTAGGGTATTTAACTGCCATTGTGGTGTTAAATAAAAAGGAAATTAAAAATAAATCCTTTAATTGCTGCAGCACTCACTCAGCACTTGTTGAGAGTGTGCTTTCTGGGTATTACCCAGCCTACGCTGCTGTTGTCATTTGTGCTGTCCAGACATATCCAAGCTGCAATGTCGCCTTTGTTTTCCTTGCTAGACAAGTGTAAGGGCTCAGCAGAGGAAGGAATGAAAGCCAAATGTCAGTCCTTCCTCCTCAGAGCATCCTTTCTCCTTTCCCCAGCATGTTAGTTGTAAGAGGCAAAGGGGGCTGTGGCTGTAGAAACAGGCTTTACTCATCTGTAGGGATACTGGCTAAACTGAAGTGCGAGAGGCCAGGTTTAGGTGGCGAGGATGTTCTGCAAGTTCTTTGGGGTCAGTTACCAATTATCATGTAGATGGCAGCAGCATCCAGACCACAGACACTGTGATCACTTAGGTGATTCCCCAGCCTTCATGGTACTCAGGGCAGCCACTTGTGACTCACCATTGATTTCCAGCTGGAAGAACTTTCCCTGGAGCAAGAGGTTATTTAGTTTCATCCAAAAAATCCTGGAACGGCAACTGCTCTCTACAAAACCTGGTGGAAGCACATATAGAGCAGATGAGCCAGTGGGACCGGAGGGCAGAGAAGAGGCACATCTTGTTACAAGCAAAATAACCAAGTTCTCATCCTTGCCTCTCCCCACTATCCTTTTATCAAGTTTCACCAACCTGGGGGAGCCATCTGCCTCCCTTGTCCCAGCCAGAACAGCAAGAAAAGCAGCCAGATCCTGCAGTGTAAGTACATGAACAAATGATGGGGTGAACAGAGAAAAAAAAGATCAAGATGGAAAATGAACGAGGCAGCAACCAAAGTCTCATTACCTGCATAGTAAGTAACCCACAGCCTCCATCTGTCCCCAGACACCTGTGCACGGGCAGCAAAGTCCTCCTCCCTTTGAAGTAAAGCTGACCCAGCTGTGGAGAGGGAACTTGGTCAGAGCCAGGAGGAAAGGTATAGCTGACCTTTTACAACAGAGATTGTGCTGTCTTCTCCAAACCTTGTGTGTGAATCAGGAGGGGCCGGTGGCTTCTGTCGTGGAGGGACGCCTGGGCTGAATCCTGCAGTGCCCTCCAACGTTATCTGAGCTCCTGGCAGTGGGAGCAGCCTCCTTCTCACTGGGAGGGCAGAACACCCTTCTGCCAGGTATTTACAAGGTCAGATGCTGCTGCTGAGCCTAATTTTAATGAGTGCAGCAGGGGGTGCTCGGTGCTTTCCATTAACCCCTGGGAAGTAATCTCATTCCTTATAAGCCAGTTGGGTAGCTTTGGCTTCAGGTCTTAAGAGCACATGAAACATTTCCCCGGAGGTATTTTAATTGGGTCTACACAGGAAATACATTTTTGTTTCTGTGAAATGTCCCAGTGACCCAGCCATGCCAGAGATAACAGCAGTTCTTTGGCAGTTACACGTTTTGCTTTTGTGGATCCAGTTAGGTCGCCCTTTGATTTGTTTGATTATCGGAGAGTGTTTTGGTGAAAACATCTTGATTTTAGAAGTGCTCCAATATGTCTGGATCAGTCAGACCATGTGCAGGTCTGTAAATGGCCAAACATATTGCCTGGGAAGAGAAAGTCATTGCGCCTGGTGGGAGCTGTGGCTCTGGGACTGCAAGCGCCCCGGGAAGCAGGAAGTCTGAGAGCTTTGGTGAGCTAAAAATATGGCTTGTGTGGCATGGATGAGCTACGGTGGGGTGAGAAGTACAGGACATTTAGGTTGACATTTTAGCCACTGAAACCCAGGGCTCAATCTCCTTTTGAGCCCCATTTTGGGGCATTACCCAAAAGCAGAGCTGTGCTGTAGAAATGAGATTGTTTTTACAGTACACTTCACACCACTTTGGGATGAAAAGCCAGTGGGCACATCCAGTCACAGGACACAGTGCAATCAGTGTCATTTTATCCTCTGTCATCCTCTCTCAAAGGACCTCTGCAGTAACAGCAGAACCCACACCACCGCCCTGCCAGAAACGCTCACTTTATACAGCAGGGAGCTGGTGGCACGCTTGTGTGAGTGCTCTGGAGCAGAGCCCCGGGGCTTTAGCAATCTCCTAATTAATGTCCTTTGGCCACAAGACCCTTTCTCATTCAGCGGGAGCCGAAGTCCAACTTCTGCAACAAACTTCTCATGAGCCCACGCAGGACTCGCTGCACGATCCTGGCCTGTGTTAACTCTGCGTCCCCGGACTCAGAGTGACTCTTCATTGAATCCAGCTGGGGCTGGAATTAGGCTGGAAATGGCGGTACTCAGATACCACAGTGATGAGTGTGGTGTAACAAGGAGATTTTGAATTTTGAGTGAAAACTTCAGTATATTTGGATAGCAAACGGTTCCAATTTTGATAAGCCACTTCCAAGAGCCATGTAGCATCTCTCTGAGATACTGAGAGTCAAGGTCTGAGGGAGCCATGTTTGAGAGAGCGTGATTGCAATTTATTAATGAACAGCCAACCACCAGGACAGGTACACGACTGCAATTAGCTGCCTTCTTTGCACAAGCAGCGAGGAGATGAATTTCTAGATCTTTGGACAACTCAGAGCATCATAATTACTGTTTCTGGCATTAATCATGGTTCTAAATGTGGCAGAAACAACTTTGGATGTGACATAGCAATTGTGGTCAGTATGCGATAGCCAGCTCTTGGCCTCGCTGTCAACCAAGCAAAGCAAAGCAAAGCACGTCCAGGTCAAATGCTTTTGGCTTCCAAGGATCGCTTAAGTGCTGCGGAAAGCATTGTTAGCACTGGGCGGCTGGAAACATCGGCTGCTTGTGGTCCCTAAAGTCCCTGTGGTACTCATTATAAAGGTAGGGATGATAAGCTTGTGCATTCCAGGTTGTTATATTTGTCTACTCGGTTTTCCTTGCTGTTTTGGCTGCATAAGAGCACCCATCTTAATGTTCATGTAGGGTAATAAACAGCTGCTGTGTTTCGACGTTGAGGTGATGGCATTCTGTGGTGGATAAGACGATTCATGGCTTGGGTTCTTTTGAGCTGAAAGGTACTGTATGAACGTAATGTTTTGGTTTCTTTTTTTTTTATTCTGTGGTGGATAAGACGATTCATGGCTTGGGTTCTTTTGAGCTGAAAGGGGTACTGTATACGTAATGTTTTGGTTTCTTTTTTTTTCCTGCATGGGTCTGGAACTGGGTTTTGTATTATATAACGTGATTGAAAGTTTAAAACCGGCCACTTGGAGCAGCATGCATAGAGCACCTCTCCCAGTGAGGCTTGTTTTTAGTGGTGGAAAAAGGCTGCAGCCCTTTGAGTCACGGTGTTTGTCTTTCTGTTGTTCTGTGGCACTGAAATCCGCAGGTTACCTGAATGCTGCAGAAAAAGTCTTTTTCATTTTTCTGTCCCAAGTCTTTTAATTAAAACTTTATTTTTCCAACTGGTTAAAATGCAAGGAAGTTGTTTTTTTTTTCCCCACTAGGTCCCATGTAATGATCTTAAGTAAGCCTCATAGTTTGATACTTAGTCTGAGTGTGGGATAGAGTAAAATGGCACCCATTATTGGACAAAAAAATAACTAGTGAACAATGGGAAAGGAAACGGGGTGAAGTCTGGTGTTAATGTACCAAAACCAGAACCTTTCTTATACAGAGTTGGGAGAAGCCAAGATAAGGAATCCCTGCCCTCCTTGTCCTCTTGCAGCTGCAGGACTGGCAAATCTGAAATAGAGATGGAAATATTGGTATGTAAGTATTTCTAAACCTAGAAATAGCTGCCCAAGATGGTGACCTAAAATGTGACAACCAACTAGAGAGACCCACTAGGAAATCTTCAAGAAGGAGATGCTAGAGGAGATGCTTCTCCATGGGAAGAGCTATGCCCTGGAGTAAGCTGAGAACTAGATATTCAGGTTGCGGGTCCAGCGGGTGAGAAATGGGAATGATGCTAAGCTTTATCTCTGAGAAATGTTTTCTCAGGGTGTGTGTCTGTGAGACACGGAGAGGTGCAAGCGACCTCCACCTGCAAGGTAGCACTCCTGTTCTGGAAAGGGCTTGATCACCTTGGCATGGACGTGTGCCTGAGCTCTTCTCCCACCTGCATGCACCAGGAGCTTGTAAGTGCATTCAAAGGGCTTTTAAATCCCCAGGGAAAAATAGCGTATAAGGATAGTTCTGGTTTAACTTCATACCATACCACAAGATAATCTCACCGATGCAACTAAAATGCTCTGTCCATTTTTGTATGCACATATTGTGTTTCAGAGGGCTGAGGCCTTACTGTTGTGTGCAGATGGTGCAGAGGAAAATATACCCTGTACGGAACAATTATAGAATAATCGGCTCAAAGAGGCAATTTCTTCCTATCCCCATGAGCTAGTAGTTGGCTTATGCCCTGGACCATGAGGGTTTACATTCCTTGTTTGTTATTCTAAAACTATTATTATTATTATTATTATTATTTATTATTATTATTGTCTGTATAATGTGTGTTTAGAAAGTGTCCTTGTGTTTATGCCATTTTTATCTTTAAAATACACCACACTCAAATTCATTTGAAATCCAAAAAGCAACGCTTGGCTATCATTGCATGTCACTAAATCATTAAAGTGGTGGAAAAAGCGCAACTAAGCAGACCTGTATAATGATGGGCTTTTAATTTTTTTTTTAATGTGCTATTGGTGTTAATTTCTGTGTGCCTGTAATGTTTGTGTTCACTGTAACTGAACAATAGAACTTTGTTTTTGTTCTTTGTGTAAATTAAAAACATCTGTTCTCTTTATAGCAAAAGTTGTTTTTTAAAAGAAGCTGGTCTGATCTAACTAAATACCAATGCTGTGTCCACAATGAGTTACTATTAATATTTGGGAAAGGCAACCATCCAAAGCAAGTGTAATGTCAAATCACTGGCGGGAGTGCATATTTATTGCTCGAAGTGACAGATAAAAATGCAGAGGTTACAAAAACAAAATTCTTGCGGATGACTAATGATGCGTATATATGCCCCCAATGCCCCATCACCACATTTACAATTGGCAGGGTGTTCTCCACCGCCTCCTGCTCCCCAGGAGTAATCGACAAGCGACTGGTAGCTTGGCACCCTCCCTGGAGGAGCGATGCTGCTCCCACCTTCCCTCCGGCAGACCCTGATGGAGTGACCTTCGGGGTGTGCTGGAATCTGATCCATCTATTTAATTTGTCTGACTTTTCCCCTACCTCGCTCTGGTATTTGACTGCATGGGTTTATTTTCCACTGAAGGCACGTGACATTTTTTTTCTGCGCAGGTGGAGGAGGTGGAGCATCCACTGCGCGTTTCTGTCGTGCCTGTGATGCCGGCACAATGGTGGTCTTCAGAGTTGTCTGTAAAGTCCTGGTATGAAGAAGTTGGCAGCCCAAGACGGGAGTCTGTCATCTTTCTTGTGAGGAGCAGTCCTGCATTCAGCAGCAGTCTTGCTGAAGTAGCTGGAGGTTATTTCAGAGAAAAAAATATACTATTTGTCATGAACGCTGGTGGCAGAACTGGGGTCTGAGAGGTTCAGTGCTCTCCCTGCCCAGGTGGCTATGCAGCCTTGTCACTAACGTACTTGAGCACCTCAGAGATGATGAACTTGTCCTCATAGGCAGGCGTCTTGGGAAGGAAAGACATCCTAATTGACATTTGTTGATGAAGGGCCTGATTCAAGAAAGCATCTCTATTGAGTGCAGCAGTTAAGTCTTTGCTTAAATCTCATTTATCTCTGTAAGATTTAGACACAAGTAAACCCTTTCCAGACCCTGGGCATGCAGAGCCCGGACCTGCTTCTCCCCTTCCTGCTACCTCCGGCTGTCCTGTGCCAAGGGTGCCCAGCCTTTCACTGGCAAGAACCAAGAAAAAAAGCTTGGCTGTGTTAAAGAATTAGATATTTTGTTGACGTGCTTATTGCAGTCAGTGCCACAACAGGTATTGACCTATTATCAGCGTAACTTCCCTGCTCCCTCTTAAGATGCCCCTAATGTGTCCTTCCCCTCTCCTGTTCTCCTGCAGAGGAGCCCTGTGCTCCTTC